AGCTGTTCTCAGTCTGGTGTTGTGGTTAAGTATATGATACGCCCAAATCTTGTATTCAGTCTGGGATTGTAACAGGGAAGCCAATCCAGCCATTTAGGAAGTGACTTTGTGTCATTCTGCCATGAATCTTCAAGAGATAGAGGTTCTGCCAGCAGGTTTGGAGATAAAACCCATTCAATCCCATTCAGAGATTAGGCTAAAGTAAGGAATCACTGATGCTCAACTGCAAACAAGAGAACTCTGCAGCAACAGGAGACGGAGCAGAATGAGGAAATACAATTGTATTTTCAAACAGGATTACAGTACGAGTTGTGCATCTTTAAGTAAGCTTTTGCAATACCAAAAATCCTCCTTTTTCAAATCCTGTCTTTGAAAACCACTTTATTTGTGCTGCTGCCCAGACAGAGCACACAGCCCTGCCTAAAGAGCACATGTTACGGATACTGAACAGTCTCAGCTTTCCTGGGGCACTGAGAGACAGATCAACCATGAGGTGTCAAGAAAACCTGCTCCCCTTTCAAGTGATACTCCCCCTGCAATTGGAAGTGAAGATGAGGATGGAAGGGGAAGCAAGAGCAGTATTCCGGCTTTAATTCAATACTGAAGGTCCACTAAACCTGAGCAGCAACAGCACAATGAACAGAAATGAGGGTGTGCAGAGCAGAGAGCAGGGATAACAAAAGGCAATGAAATGGAGGTAGGAAACTGGTTTCCTTTCCCCAGAACACCAACACACCTCTAATCAAAACCCCTGGAAGGTGTCCCCACATCTCATTAAGCTGACTTCACTGTGCAAAGCAGTCCTGAAGTGAGAATCTGTAAGCAACATTAGTATTTAGAGGAAAAATGGTCAACAAGTCACTCCCTCTCTTAAGACCTGGACTGTATTACGATGTTGGAAAGCAGTTTCCTGGTGATTATTCTCTACTGAATGTGGCAGTTTCTGCCCAAACAACAAGAGGAAATCTGAAACAGTTCTGCTGAAACATGAAATGCAATAATAACAATAGTAATGATAGTATTTAGTACTCCTGAGTACTTCACATATATGCAGTACTGCACAAACATTAGTTTATCCTAATCATCTCCATGAATCAGGTATGTATTATTAATAGCACCATTACACAAGTGCTGCAGATTCCCGTTATTTCTTTTGCTCACTTCTCTTATCCCTCTTTCCCATGCAGAGCACATCCTTCTGTTTGCTCTCCTCCTTTTCTCCTTCAAAGTTTCTCACCCATCTCTTCTGGTCCCCCTGCCCTCAGATCCAGTGCTAAATTTTAAGCCACACAAGGGTGTTCCATGTCCTTAGCTAAGGAACACTTCAGGTTCATCTCACCTACCTGCATCACACCTCTAATCTAAAATCTTTTTTACCAGATAGACTGACAGCCTGCACAGGGACAACCACCAGAAACCTGTAGTCATCTGTCAGCAATTAAAACCACAGCTCATGATCCAGGTACCTGCTTCACCACCAGCCACGTCTTTTGGAGGAGGACAAATGTCTGATTTCTGAGCATGGAGCTGAGTAATAAAGTAAAAGTCATACAGTGGCCCTACAATGACAGGACGTATCTACTCCAGTAAATGTTGGTGACCACTAAGTGATCTCATTTTCATCTAGTTTTACAATGAATTCATCATAGGGAATAAAATCTGTAATTTCTATCTAAACCTTCAAAGCCTTCATCAATTTTTACACAAGTTCATCACTCTCACCTGATACGGTATCATTCACCTACAATAAAAGTACCAACACAAGGGCAATTTTCATTTGCACACACACAATATTGCTAACTTAATCAAACACATCAGTCTCTTCTTTGCTGACAGATTATAACTCATCAACAACTGCAGAATTTCTCAGGGCAAACACTAAGTTGACTCCTTCCTCTGAGGCAGCACTTTTCAGGGCAGTTTTTCAAATGCTAAGCTAGATCTATTCATCAAAATTGTTTTCTTTAGGTAGAAAACAGTATTACCAGAAAATGGATGACTTGTTTATCTCCCTGGCCAAAAGCATACAAACAGAAAAGATGAGACAAACACCTTTACTGAATGGCACAGACCCAAGAAAACAAGCATTCAAACATAAACTGCAAACATGAGCATGCTAGATTTGGTATTTAAGTATCTGACATGACAAAACGTATGAGGTAGTAGGTAAAAGTATTAAAATGGCATCAATATTTGACAAGATCTGTCTCCCAGCTTCATTTTAATTAATTCAGCTACAATTGTTATTAAGAAATGTAAGCATTGTTGGTTTTCTCTCTAAAGGCAGCTAAAACTGTTGAACTATCTGTATAGAAGTGGGAAACTGAGCAACTTAGAAACTTTACTCCTCTTATCCATAGTCAACTAAATTTCTAGACAAATCTTTCCCAATAAACCTCAGACTCAGCTGATTTATAAATGAATTGAAGCAGCAGCAAAGCTTTCAGCTGAAGAGATAAGAACACACCATGTTTTTCCTGGCCCTCCCAGGACTGGGAGCCCTGCATGCCCCCAGTCCAAGGGGCTGCCCTGGCAGCACCATGATCCTAATCTGAAAGTGCACACCACGCTTGTGCCAGCAGCACTGACACAGCAGCCAGCCCCACCCAGGAGAGTGCATCCAAATGGATGCACAATCCTCACAACTTAATGGAGAACAGTTTTATGTATTACAGGCAGGGTTTGTGCAGTGCTTCAATTGCTGTCATTCAATTGGTGCTTAATATACGTTGGATCCTTTTATTCATAAAAATTTTGTACTCTCAGATTTATTTCTCCTCCTTTTTCACAGTTACCTACATATGGAAAATTAAGACCAACAGTTTCTCCTTCATTCTTCTTCCAGAAGAGATGGCATTCAGAATGTGACAGAAAAATAAGGAGGTGGTTTTAGGCAAAAAGCAGAGGTCCAGGCTAGGCTGGACAGGGCTTGGAGCAATCTGGGCTAGTGGAAGGTGTCCCTGCCTGTGGCAGGGGGTTGGAACTTAATGAGCTTTAAGGTCCCTTCCAACACAAACCATTCCATGATTCTGCCCTAAGTCCCTTCCACAGACAAGCTTTATGGCTCTCCTCCTCTTATTCCCAAGCGAGATACCACCACAAACAGTACCCCCCCGGGGCTGCCAGCAGGCTTTTTAAAGTCATGGAAAAGCTGCCAACAGTAAAGTCAAGTTTCCATTTACCCTGTCTCACATCGTAGTGCATAAAGAACAAGGCTGGTAAAGAACAAGAGTCTGGTTCTCTGCTGTGGGTAATAGCCCATACATCCTCCATTATCAGATCATGGAGAAGTACGTAATAGGTTGAAGTACTCAATGTCATAAATTAAGCAGAGTCAAGACCAAGCGAATACTCCAATATCTGATAAAAATATATCATTCCAGAGGTGTTGTTTCATTCCTTTGCAGCATATAATAATACACTTGCAAAGTTCATGTTCCCATTCCATTCCTCAAACTCTTCTCATGGGTTTCACAAGTCTTGACATTTTCAAATCATCACCTAGAAGATGGTTTAACTGCCTCACTTCATTCTATTTTTTATGCATTTTTACCCTAAAATCATAGTGGAGAGTTCGGCACGTTTAAAGAGATCAAAGCAATCAATGCTCAGTGAATGGTGGGCTCCAGTTCTGAAGACATCTGCCAGATAACATTTACAAAATGAAGTTTTCCCCTCCATCGTTTCAACCTTTTCATAAAAGTGCCCTCAGGGGAATGTCAGTTTCTTAGAAGTGTACTTTACAACTCCAGAAATATCTTATTTGTAGCCTTCTTTAACAAAATGCCAAATGTAGGAAAGTATTTACCACCCCTCCAAAAACAAACAGGGAAAAACAAACAACCCCAAACACAACATCTAGGAAGAATGTAACTCAGATTAACTGGCATTGGTTCTTCAAAGTACAGCATCTCAGGTAACACCTCCAAAATACTAAGATTGTGGGGATTTTATCCTGGAAGCTTTACATTTCCTCATCATGCATCTTTAACATTAAATACAACCTAACAAAAGTCATAATTCAAGCTTTAAATCGATTAACTTCTAAGTTTTAAAGATATTAAAGAAACTTGAGGATGAAATGGTGCTAAGCTACAATCACAAATTTTGGGTTTAATCTCCTGTAAAAGCTTTTTGTGCAGTTCTGGCTGGAAGTTGGAGTTCTCTTTAAGAAGCCACATTTGAGAAAGCCACAGGTCATTTTATATTTATTTATTTATTTCAAGTGAAAGCCTGCCCTCTTGTGCAAGCCTGAGGTTCAGCATCAGGGCAGTCGAGAACACAGAGGCGCGAAGATCAGTGCTACTTCTTGACTACCTAGAAAACATGAACCATCCTGTGCTGCTCTGTTAAAACATGCTGCTTTGGTGAATGGGGATCACACAGAGCAGTTACTCAATCTAATGCCCTCTCTGCAGCAAGAATAAAAAGCAAGTGCTGTTTTGTTTGTTATCTTGGCCAACTGACTCTAGTCAATTTGCAAATATTTAGGTGCACAAGTAATGTTGGAATTAGTCTCTCCCATCACCACTTTAAACGTTCAGTAGAGACAAAAGGAAAGAAGGTTCTTCTCTGACTGACGAAGAAGAAAGGGAAAACCAGCTAAATCACTGGCACTTTGTTTTAGTTTTTTAACCTTTATCCCAGTAACTATGCCATAAAGACATCTATTTCCTTAAGCAAAGGCCAAGCACAAGGTCTGACTCAGAAGTGATCTGCAAAAGCCCGCTGAAGACAACGTGGTATCACTCAGTGCTGATAAGATCCTAAAGTCAAAAATCACTGAAAACAATCATGACCACTACCTACTATACATATCTCATAGTCAGCACAAGCAATAAAGCTTTATCCAGCTACGTAACTAGCAGCACTAACACAGAATACACAGTGCAAGGCATTCGTTGTGGATGTGCATATTGACAAATGGACAAAGCTTTCACACATGCTTGAAATTATGAATGTTTCATCCCCCAGAAAAGTAAATCACAAATTACACCTACTTTCGGAGGTGCTCGTGTTCCTTAAGGAATAGTTCTGTTCTTCTGTTATTCACACCAGACCCACTTTTATAGGATCTAAAACCCAACAACAAAACAAAACAGAAGCTTAACACAACCTGAGAGTTACGAATTCAAGTAACCTTTTGCTTTATTCAGAGCACACATGAATAAGCTCTGCCAAGGACTCTTCTACACGAGGGTTTCCACCTTCTCCCTCTGAGGAGAGCCCCACACCACTGCTATAGCAAACAACTTACTCGATATCTTTCCGTACAGATCCCAACAGATTTTCCCTTTCTCGTATTGCCAAGAAGTTTGCTTTGGTTTTGTGGAATTCGTGTGTATAATCCTGTCACAAAACAAAATGAGGAACCTCAGATCAGTTTAACACCACAATACACTCGAGGAAGGTCACACCATCTTTTAAAACGTGAACTGTTCTCTAACACAAAGTGCAAGACCAGCTTATGAAATTAACATCAAACATGCTTGGAAATCAAAGCAAAGTATTTTTGAAACTCACTGCTCTGACAGTAGTTGGTAACTTTTGATGTCATAGAGGGAAATCCACAGTAATTCCTTCTCCCAGTTTCATGTATCTTCACCTTTCTGATGCATTTTCATTTTGTGTTGGAATTCCCCACTCCTGGTTGAACTAGAAACTCTAGTAAAGACTTCCTTGGTGCGGTGAAGGTGTTCTTTGGTTTATTTTTAAGTTACATCAGATGAAAAAAGAAGTCTTTTCTGAACAGTGAAGGCAACTCTTGTTTATTCCTCAAGTTGCAACTCTACATTTGAAAACATTTCAAGCAGCTACTGCTACTTGAAACCCAATTTCACTGGCAACTGGTGTCCACCAAAACCACTGCAAGCATTCAGCACTGCTTCTCATATAAACGTCATGGCTTTTCCTAATAAAATGCTTTTTACATTGTGTATTGCAGATGCAAAACAGAAACCAAACTGCACATGACCAGCCAAATTATTAACGCTACTATGCCACGAAAACATCAACAGTTTGAAACATGGTTGATTTCTAACACTAATTAGTAGCTTTAGCCATCACATTTCCTTCAACCCTTTTTAGCAGTTTAGATGGTTTTACAATCATTCTGAAGTATGATGTTCCCTCTCATGCTGCTGTATGACAGACCACACAGACAAGACAATTCATTACCTTTCTCCTTTCGCTATATAAAGGGCACCTACACAAGATGGCATATGCTAACGTTCTTAGTCACCAGTATGACATTACAAAAAAGCAGTGTTCAACTCAAGAGTGCATGGATTGGGGTCTCTGGTGAGAACAGTGAGCTGAGATCATTGGCATTTAAATCTTCTGGTCAGACACTGAAGCGTGCTGTGGTATCAGCACTGCTGACTATGAGTCCAAACAAAGAAACAAACTACAAGCAAGGAGAACACGGGCTGGTTACCTGCAGTATGTCTCTGTGACGCTGTAACGTGTGCATCAGGGCAGCATTCAGGGAGGGGACTCCTGCACTATTTGTGTATTCTGCCATTTTGTCATTTATTCCAGTAAGCTAGAGAAGGAAAACAAAACCAAACCATGAAATGGCTTGTTCCTGTAAGAAACTTACAGTGCATATGCTGAAGGAGCTCTAACAACAGCCGTGTACCTCCAGAAACACTTGTCTAACACCCACACTAGCATCTCCCAACACGCATCATGGAAACCTGCACTGCAATGTTTCCTAGAAGCTGAAGTAAACCCACAGTAAGCTCAGTTACCTTTCCCAGAAGTTGCTCAATCTCCACAGCCATGGTCTCAAACATTCTGTCCTGGCTTGACCCATTTAAGAGGGGAGTTGTGTCAGAGCTAAGGAAAAAGAGGAGCAGTTACTGCAAAAGACAACATCTTTTCATGCATCTCAGGAATCTTGTAATGAAGTTCAACAAGGCCAAGTGCAAGGCACCTTAATAACACAGTGTAAGGACAACCCACTAACCTATTAAGCAGTCAGTGTTCTACAGAGCAATATAAACCACGCAGTTTATCACAATTACAGTTTCACACTTTCCCTAGAAGCTTTTTAAGACAAAACCACAACAAAAAGTCACATCTAAGCAACAGAACAGAAGCACAACACAAGGTATGCCAATGTGCAAACATAATAACTAATACCTTTCAGAGACTACTCACTGCTCTAGTAATCTACCACAACTACTGTAAGAGAAGTAAGTATAGCAAAAATAACTAAACCAATTAGATTACAGGGCAAGTAACAGAGCCAGAAACGAGAGAGATCAGGACTCTGATTCAAGAGTAACATGATCATTCCTGAGGCTCTCTCAGGTTTCCAGAACCAGAATTTCATGGCAAGGTTAAAAATGGATTCAACCATCAACTTAAATAAACAAAAAACACCAGCATACATCCACAGAGTTGCCACACAACTGATACACAGCTGGGACCCAGAGTTAATAAGCAAAGAATGGCACTTTTTAGCCGTTGCAGGGACTAAGAAGTTGACAATTAATGCTGTGGAAGACCTCAACTCTGGCCCATAAGCAAGAAAGACCTGAAAAGTTTTATCGTAGTAATTCTTTAGTCAAACATAAGTCTGCTTAAAGCAAACAAAAACTACTCATATACAGACATATATGGCTATTTACCTGGTTCATATATATATGAACCATATATTTAAAAGCAAATATAGAGCTCTCACTATTACTACTCACCTTAGGAGAAAGCCAGAAAGCAGCAGCTACCCTTTCTGAAGGGAGAACTAGTCCCCTGAGCAACCTTGGGCCAGTCACAGCTGCTCAGTGCTCCCATTCCCTTCTCATTAAAGCAGAGTTCACAAATACCACACCAGCCCACCCGGGAGGTGTAAATTCCCCTCATACTCAACTCCCCGAAGACCTCCTGCTACTTTAATACAAGAAAAACTGGAGAATAAGCCAGTGTAAGCATTAAAAAGCCCTGTCATCAGTTCACATACAAACCCCACCGTTACAGACCGAGTTTATGCAGTTTCCTCCGTGACATTTACACTCTCACAAGGCACCTCTGCAGCCCACACGCCTTTCTGACTCACACCCCAGCATCACTCAATATTGCATCAAGCCCAACACCGGCACTGAGAAGTGCTGAAACGAGCTGCTTAAGAAGCTGAGGACAACAGCCACAGGTGGGACCGGCGTTAAGCAGATTATAAAAATGAAGCAAGTACCATAAGCAGCGTTTAAAACATAAAGAAACGGGTTAGTACCTATACCTGTCGCGCCTTCCGTCTCGGGTGCCGCTGTAGCTGGTGCACAGCTTGCTGAAGGAGACCAGCTTCAGGTCCAGCTCGTTCTCCAGCTGCCTCGCCTGCTTCCGGAGATCTGCACAGGGCGGCCGAGAGCGGGGACAAGTCACACACCGGCCCGGGGGCCGCACGCGTGTGGGGGGACGAGGCGGAGCGGGCGCAGGGAAAGGAACCCCACAGAGAAGGGGGGGACCCTCGCAGGTGAGGCAGCGCCCCACGTTGAAAGAGGGGGCACGGCTGAGCACGCCCAGGCCCTGCCCCACACCACCGGCAGGGTCGGGGTCAG